AATTTATAAAACAAGAACATTGTAGAGTAAATTATTTCATTCTGATATTAAATTTGGACGCCCAATCTCTTATTAGGTAAGGAGAGAAATAAATGCCATTGCTTCTTACATACAAGCCTTATTTTGTTCACATTTGTTACTCTCATGCTTATACCACTAAACTCTTGACTTTTTCATCAGATAACAGATTTCTTTTATTATTATTAATGTTCATATTAATATAGAGTATTATCCAAATTCACATTTACAAGCCGGTAACATATAATTCTTTCATAATGTATGTATAAAGGAATATATGATAAAATTCCAACACATACAAAGCCTGTTCTACATTCATCGCACAAAATACGCCCCGCGTCATAGTAAATGAAGTTGCAATAATTCACCCCCTGTTACCGGATACGGTGCTTGTTAGCGGCGAGCGGTCGGCCGACCGATCGCTCGATTCGTCGCTGCGTTGACGTTATCATCAATTCTTCAGCGGAGAATATTGTTTTGCGCAATTTAAATAAATTGATTATGAACTTCGGGAAAAATTTTATAACATAATAATTATTTAAGTCAGAACGTCGTCGAATATGGGTTTATCGATTCTGGCCGTAATAAAAAATCTTGTAACTGACTCTCTGTTGCTGGGAACGCCAGTAAGAAACCTAATACGAGATATTATGGTAGGGTAGTAGCCAGAATGAGGTGACGGTTGCCAATACCATGCGGGCCAATAGCTTGACATTCTAGTTACATAAGAAAAATCTATAAACCAATTAAACGCAAAATTGATTATCAACACTGTCTTATTAATGTCAAAATTGATTATTGACATTTTTGAATCATATCTAATAAATTTGTAAAAACCAAAAACATACATTGTGGTATAACAACAAAATTTTATTGAATATTTTGTTCATTAATGTACTTATGTGTTTACGAAACTTGATATAATGAAGTATACACGATCATACTCATCATATAGTAGCCTTGAGACATGCCAAAGTTCTAGCACCTACACTACTACAGAGAGGAACAACAAAGACTACCTCAGAATTAAAACTGGACTCAGGAAATCCATTCCCGCTGCTATCGTGCTATGGGCTTTTCACAAAATGCCCTCAAAAGATGGCTTAACATCCCGTCGGGTGATAAATTTTATAAAGAAACATTATAAAGTGGTAAATGAGCCCAGAAGAACAGGCAAATCCATAGGAAACATTCTAAGGTGTGCCGTCGAATTTGGTTTGATACAGAAACGCGGTAATAAATATTATCTCAAAAAAGAAAAACATTAATGATGTTGATATTAAAATAATACGTAGTGTCTGTACCTTTTTCCATGAGTTGATAAATAAATAATTATAATAGTATGTATTTCTTTATTAGAAATATTTATTTATTAATTTTATTTTATTTATTTGTACATTTTTAGATAGAATGATTTAACAATAATTCCTGCTCTACGCTCAAGGATTGTCGCAGGAATCGGATATCTTTTAGTACAGACACATTAACTTAATACAGGTTGCAGTTCAACTATGTACAGAACTAACCAATATTACATAGGAAAATAATTAAAAAAAGGGAAAAGTATGTGTACAGGCTGAGCATTTGAACGTGTACCTATGTATGTGTGTGAAAGAAATTATTAAATTTTAAGAATAGAAAATCATTTATTCAAACTAACTTGAAGCACTTTTGAATAGTCATGACATTTTTTTTAATCTACCGCTCATTCGGAAAGCTGTCCATCACAAGAAGAACGAGCAAGAAACTTGTGTGTTGCTCTTTTAAATAATTTTATTCTTACTTTACAATTTTAGTTTAAGTTTGTGAATACAAACTACCGATTATCAGTAATAAATTAAATAATCAAATAGAAAAAATATTGAATACACAGCAACTGGTTAAATAATTGATTAATTTAAATGCGACTATAAACAAGCTATAATAGGAAGACGGCCCATAGGATAATAGTAACTATAATAATAATAATAATAATAACCCTGGACAATTCTCGCAACGCCATCTAGTCCTAATCTGAGTTAAGCAGAGCATGTGTTATGGGTACTAGACAATTGAAATAAATATTTAGTTTTATATATTTTTTTGTAAATACGTACATAATATACATAGAAAACACCCAGACCGATACAAACAATAATATATACTTATAAATATAATTTGTTTGTACGGTGGAGGAATCGATACCACGATCATCGGAATTGAAGCGGTGTTGAACGTCTATACCACCGCAGCCGTTAATTCAATACTGACGCTTACTTATGTCAACTGCGCCACATACATTACTAACAATATATCATGTCAGTTCGACTTCCACGCGATTCTCCCTGGAAACCATCGTGGTCAATGTCTGGTAAATTCTCCACGATGGGTAAACTGACCTGACTTCGTGTTCATTCTACAATACTTCACTAGTGCCTCGCCAGTGTATACCGTTGGCGAAGGAAGGTGTACAATTGCATTATCATCTCTGAAAAAAAAACCAAAATAGTAAAAGTGATGCCCGTAATATTCTTCATACGTTTTCATTCCAAAGGCCAGTCCTTTCCGTAACACTTCTCACGTGTGGGTGTCACTTCTCCGTATGCTGTAATTTTACTGCTATATTACCCTTCAAGTAAATACTAAGAATAGAAGCAAGGAATGATGTCGAATTTATACCTAAAATATGTAGAATACACATTTATTTCAATAATGAATAGCATTTCGTACTAGGTTCGAAGGGCAGCTGACAATGGCGATTAGTCTGTATACACCTCTATTTGTTGCGTGGTTCACACCCACCTACGCATCAAAACTGTTTCGATTTCACGTACCACCTACGTAGAATGTATTATATGGGACTGATATACACATTACATTACAATCTTATTGTGTACTTATGTGAGACATTTTGTAAATATTTTGTAACAATTTTTATCGAAACTTCGAAAAGCACTCTTAGCCTAGCGTCACAATTCCGCTAAGAGCCGAATAGATCGTGCCGAGCAACGTTTGACGACATTTGATTGGAGCATTGAGTGCTACGCTCCGCTCTTTAGAAATGCGCCAATCGAATAGCATCATCAGAACCTGATAATGTGAGCACAGCTTTATTCATGTTTAAGGCAAAATATGCAGATGGTGTAAAATCTGTCTGATGTGAAATGTTTCTATCAAACATTTTTATTTTAGTCGTCACAGCATCATGTATAGCCCAGGATAAATCTCAAGGGTTATCATTCCGGAGGACTCAAATGTCATGCATGGATACCCTGTATTTTTTCTGAATTATCACACCCTACAGCTGATATGCATACATATACAAAGAAAGCTGGTTAGCAGCTGAAGTAGGACAGACAGAAGTGAAGTAATTTTATATAGTCTACCTCGGATTTTCGATAACTTTTTTCTCCAAGTTGCAACATTTGGGATAAAAAATGATTATTTATCTCTATTGATTATATCTATATATTTAGTTTTAAATATATGTCCTAGACATACATTTAAAACTAATCTAATAATTACTTATACCGTTTTAATTATTATTACATAATCACACAGGCATTTAGGTACGGCCGATGGATTGAAACTACTACGGCCTAATCTGAGGTCTGAAACGCTAGCAGTGCCTTCAGAATATGTAATATCTCTTATCTGTGCTTCATACTAAAGTCGTATCTGGAATCACCCGCTCTATAAGTCATGCGAATCGACTCGAATCGAGTGGCCTCCGCATTCGTTCGCTGCAGATTCTGCATTAAAATAGATTATATTTTTTAACTTATATATACTAGCTTTCTTAACGGTGGACAATAAGTTCCAATAAACATTACATTTCTGGTTTGTCCAGTTTAGTAGGTCGAATTTTTCAGGAGATTACTTCAATTTCAGGGCGCTGGTGACAACCCTTGTGTTACGTGATCAGTGAGCATCCGTAAAATTCACCAAAAACCCTTTACTACCGATTTAAAATACGACCGGGTCGTAACTAAACAGTCACCACACTTGTTGCCAACCCATTGCTCTGTACATTTTCAAAATTTAAATCTTGAAAAACTATACCGTATTTTGAATTGTAAATAAAACAAACTGATTCAATAATAATAATATTTTTTCTAATGTTTCACAAACTTGTATTTACATGATCCTTCACTTAAAATAATATATTGCAATATAATAAAACAACAATTCAAAGAAAAATACTCAAGTGGTGTACTTATACTGATGACGCCGAGATAGCCTCTAGCGTTGAAATGTTTTTTACTGAAGACGCTAAGCTGGACTGTAGCGTCGTTACTTTTACTTACTGATGAAGCTAAGATGACGTTTAGCGTCCTTACTTTCACTTACTGATGACGCTAAGACGGCCTGTAGCGTCATTACTTTTATTTACTGATGACGCTAAGTTAGGCTACCAGCGCCATTTTGTTTTCATTCGAAATACCTATTGATTAACACATGTATGGTGGAATGCTTACGACACTAAGCAAGCGTAAACTTGTTCACGTAAAATATCTTTATGCAATATCAATGCACTTCATAAGAAGTTTTAAATATGTTAACATGACAACAATATAGTATTTACAACGCAATGAACACTGTAATTATAATTATTTGGACAGCAAAGTTGACATACAATATTTGTATTGATAAATACAAAATAATGGTATCGACTGAATTAGACCGATATATTCTTATTTAATCATCTAGTGTAACATCTACATTTTTTTATTTATTGAAACCCTTTGCTTTTTAAGTTGCATCTACATTGAATTCTATTGCCATGCTTAGTATGTATATATATTTTTTAAATGGCAAATAAATATTTCTTTTATCTTTGTCTTTTTCTGTTAAACTATACAGCCAAAAAAGGGTTTATTTGAAATTTTATGTTTTTTTATAATCAACAATATGTATTACATTCAAATGTTTATCTTTTACACGTAACATATTACGCGCGAATTATATATAAGGTTACAACGCGGTTATGTTCCACTTGACTATTATTATGGAATTTAGAAGAGAACATCGTCCTCTTGTTCATCAAGAAGATTCGATTGATCACGAACATCCTCTCCGGCTGCCAACAGTGCCGCTTTTCTCTGTAAAGGAACGTACATATAAGATACGATTACATGTTGTGTGAAAGATTCTGAACAGTGTAAAAGCTCACATGTACATTTACCCATGACAGAACATCCCCAAAGACTTAGTACAAGTCAGCGATATCGCTAGTGAACAAACAATGCTCAGAACAATATTGTTTTGGCAATAATTCCAAATACAATATAATATAAGGTGCTGCCAAATTATCCGCATTCTTGCTTTAAGTGTTACTTATATATATTACGACAATAAAATAATTTTATATCTTAATAAGACATGCATTTCTTAAAAAAATGGCATTGAATTTTAATTTTAAGTATATTTCATACCGAATTTTTTTCACTACATGTAAATAAGCCTTTATGTAAGTACTAAGTTTATTGTTACCTTGTACCAACCATAATATTAAATGACCGAAGTGTCAATTTACACAAAAAGGGATGTTTTAGGTATATCTTAACGATATTTATAATATTTCTCTTATATTGCTGTGTGATAATAATTTATGACATTTGGGAGATACAAAATTCAAATACATTCAATTTTAATTATATCCTCGTAATATATACAGGTAATACTATGTCCTATGGATGGCAATTCAGATAAGTTGGTAACACACTATTATGAATGACATACCCTATAGAAAATATTCTATAGTTTATGTCAATTCCATACAATTTGAATTCTATCAGCGACTAAAGATGGGAGCAGAAGTGATTATGCGATCAAGTGCAGTTTGTATTTTTATTCCAAACATTTCATACCACAACTTCTAAGACCATAATACAGTTCAAATTTATAATCCGTCTCAGTAATTGACCGTTTTTTATGACATTTTCCATGTGATGATGGAGTAGGAATACTAATACCACTACTTTTTAAAATTAGGTGTCTTTTGTGGTTGATGGATTGGAGCTCCTGTCTGACAAATGATGTGACAGGAGAAACACTAGTGGGCATTGAATGCGTGAACATGAATTAATCAACAGGGCTACTCTGCACAAGGTGGACCGACGATCTGATCAAGAACGCTGGAAAGCGTTGGATGCAAACAGCGCCAGAGGATGCCTTTGTTTAGTAGCGGACATCTTCCGGGCTGAAATGACGATGATGATGATGATGATGATGACGATGATGATGCTACTTGAAACCAATCACAATATCGGTTTTCATCCTACTCAGTCGCATTGTTCTTTTAAAATGCACAGTGCAAAATACCACTCATCGGTCGTCATTCCAGAGGATTAAGATGAAGTTATGGATATGATTTAACAATTCATGGCATTCCCCTGTTAATATTAATTATTGATTTCATATAGAACAAAATTGTAACAAGACACTAAAGCTAAATTAAATCGTTAAAAACGAGCCATTTTCTTAATTGCCATAAACAACTGTCAGTTATAGATATTGCAAATATGAACTGTTTTAGGATCCTCTTATCGTCACTAAAGTAGCCATTTTAATCCCTTATTTTTAAATGAGATCAATGAAACAAGATTTACGAGTGTAAATTTTATTGTAAGTCGCTGTAAAAAAAATTTCATCTCAGTTTAGTTAAGTCAATCCTAAGTAGTACTAAACTTAACAAATCGAGATGAAATTTAGCACACATTGTTGTTTTTGCAACGGAAATGTTATATAAAGATTCCGATCACGAGGACGAAATTATAAAAACACAGTAAATTTATAAAAAAACACCATAATAATGATATGCGAAAGCCACCTAAGACCAAAACCAATTAGTATTGTCAATATGATTGTTCAGAATCTACAAGTGCAAGTTACGAAGTATGAACATCACAAACGAAACGAAACCACCACCGTAGCCCCACATAAGGCCAGCTGATCACGACGGTCCAACCTAGAATACATACATCTACTGTACGGAGTGTATCGTGCATGCAAGAACTTAGAAGAGAAGATCCTCATCCCCTTCGTCTAGAAGGTTAGCGATGCCGCGGACTTCTTTGCCAGCCGCTAGAAGTTCGGCTTTTTTCTGTAATAATAACAAAACCGGTCAAGCGCGATTGCCTCGCACGTTGAAAGGTTCCGTTAATATAAATGTAGTGCGAGTTATACCTACCGATGCAGTCTACCAACTAAGTGTAAAAGCGAATTACCTCTCTCACTCAGCAACTTTCTGGTATAGGCTATCTCTGTGGTAAAAAATTTGACACTCACAATAAGACGGGTGCAAAACAAGTTTTGTGCAGACATATCCATGTATGTGTTACTAGTATTATTATATCTGTAACTATTTCAATAAATAATTTATTCAGTTTATAACAGGAATGAATGTCTCTTTATAAATTATTGATTTTTTTTCACAACCCTAACTTGTAGGCCCTTGCTTTCTTGGTCATTTGTTTTTTCTTTAGACCACTTTGATCAAAAAGTAGAATGAAAAGAGAAAAATATTACGAATTATATATCATTTTTTTTTAACGGCAACCAACTAAACGAATTGTTAGATTTTAAAGAAGTAATAACTTCATTTAAACACAATTGACACAACACACTTGCACACACGGGCGGAATTATGAACTGTACAAATAATTATAAATTTAATGTAGGAAATCTCCGCATTATCTGTGGGAATGCCCGTGTTATAAGGAGCAGTGAAATCACATACTATGAAAATGCGTTATAAGAGTACCGTGTTATTGTAGGATTTCTGAATTTGTTTATTAAATTATAGCACTTATTATAAGATAATATATTAAATACAGAATCTGACGTATAGAATATTTACAATCTAATAGAACTGTAATAAAAAGGACGAAAATCTCTTAAACAATGAAAGTTAGGCAACAAAATCAATCAGTCGAAGTTAGCTAGGCCACATAAGTGACTACAAGTACACTTGTTCCAGTGATAGGAATAAACGAGTCATTAAAAAAATTGGACAGAATAAATAAAGACTAATAGCTATAGCCAGTCACGTCAAAGATACGGCCCGCAGGCCGCATCCAATCCCCGAGCTGTATTAATAACACCCGCGATCGATATATGTTATAATAAACCAGTTTTTTTATTTTATTTTAATCTGCCCCGCCTACACATTCCAAATTTAATATGGCCTTTTGCACTATTGAGATACTTTTAGAAAACATCCATTTAAACATATACAATATATTATAAATTTGACAATGATTATACGTGTTTCTTGTATTAAAACAATGTAATTACCGCAATATAATGAAAAATATATGCAACTTCTCTACAAGTAATTGAGCTTTCTTAAAAGATATTTTTAATAAAATCTTTAGTTTAGTGTTTTACCAAAGATGTTATTATATATTCGGTAGTCTTAGTTGGTATCACAATACATACAAATTAGTGGAATGTTAGTTCAAACCAACATTGTTATACCTTCACACTTGACAGTCAAGCTTAGTAACTAAATGGTAATATTACTATTAAATGAGGTTAATTAAGCATATTAAACACAAAAATTTGGTAGAAGATACTCATATATTCTTTACTTATATCTGGTAGTAAACATAAAAAATCATATTAAAAAAAAGAAAATACAAATCACACAGCGCCATCTAGTCGTATGAGTACTAAACCATTGATTGAAATAGTTAAATACATTTTTATTGTAAATACATACATAATATACACACACCCAGACTAATACAAACAATCATGCATATAAATACAAATATTTGTATTGTGCGAGGAATCGAAGCCACGACCATCCGATGAAAGGTGGTATGCTAAACCACTCATGCCATCAATAATATGCATAAAAATAAATAAATATGTGTATCTGTAATTTCATTGGCATTACTATGTGTATATCAATTTGAAGTATTATAAGGATTATTTTGGCAATTATTAGTGTAATATGTATAAAACAAATTAAATACAAATGATATTAAGAATATGCAAAATCCCAACACACTTTAAAACAATATATTTTCTGTGTTGTATAATACAAGCTCTGCCTAGTTTGAGAGTAGATGGTGCTGTACGAAATGCCTAGGTTGGTATTATTATTAAACTATTAACAAATATTCATATTATAAACAAAATAAAATTCTATTTACCACCAGTTAAAAGCATAGAATATACAAGAGACTTCCTAATGTGAATATTGCATCACTTACCGCCTCAGCTTTATCTTTGATGATTTTCTTCTTGTCCTGGATCTTTTTCAGCCGGTAGAACTCCTCACGTTCCAGTTCGTCCAGCTCGGAGATAATGTAGGCCAATGTACGTTCCAATCGTGGAATGATTACTGTAAAAATGTTTCATGTGTATTTGATATAGCAACAATCCTTATATTGTATTGGAGTGAATACTCCAATACAATATAAGGATTGTTGCTATCGGAGAGGTTGAAGAGTAATCGTCTATCGTGGTATGGGTATGTAATGCGTAGGAATGAATATATTTTAAGGAAGGTGTTATATATGAATGTGGATGGTTATACGGGTAGAGAAAGGCCGAAAAAGAAATGGATGGACTGTATGAAAGATGATATGGTAAGATAGGGAGTAAATATCGAGATGACTGCGAACAAGGATGAATGGAAGAGAAAAACATATTACGCCGACCAAAATTAAATGAGATAAGGAGAGAAGCAGATGATGATGACGATGATGACTCATATTGGAGATTTAATATACTAGAAGGTTCGAAGAGAGAACTAACTTTTTCGAAACCAGCGTGCATGCTGAAGACGAGTTATGAATGAAGCAAAAATTGTCAAGAAAAATGGCCAAAGCATTTGATTGACTGTTTACCCGGTAAAGTGTGAAAACATATAGGTTTAAAATTATTGTTTTGTTATAAAGCACCATTAATTTTTTTTTTTATAACTGGTCATAGTACTACTCAAAATCAGATGTGTTTGTGGCAAGAAACAATATTCTCACAATATCATTGGTGAAATTTACTGACTTATAGTGTTCGGCCATGACATATGGTATATGGGTTATGAGTATTCTGCTAAACTGGTCACTCTAATTAACAGTTACATAAATAAATAAAAAAATCTTTAATTTAACTGCCTTTTCTCACCCTTTAACCAAAACACATCTCTTACAAAACAAGCTGAAAGACAGAAATATCCATGCAGAAAACTTTTTACAGAGTATTCCTGTTTTCTATATTTTCATATTTTTTATGAAAATATAGAAAACAGGAATCAATTTACATTCCTTACCATGTTCAATAGCATTGACACGTCTGTTAGTGATCTTGATGACCTCATCAAGAGTAATGAAAGATGTCTGCAGTGATGCAAGCTCGACCAGCAGCTTAACAGCAGTTTGGAAGTTCTTCTTCAGCTTGGCCAACTGCTGACCACCTCGAGCAAGCCCCGCCAGTTCATATGTATCAGAGCCATCTTGGTAAGACTCAAAGATCGGAAGTGTGACACCTGAAGTTGGCATAAAAATAGAATTGTACATATCTCACATGGGTTAATTGTATATTAGTGGGGGGCGAGACAATAGCTGTATTCACGCACGAATCAAAATTCACTTGAAAGAATGTAACCTTTAATGTGTCCTTGGAAAATAAAATCAGTAGAAAAAAATTAAAATGAAGTGATATAACATTGAACCAAGGTGCAAGAGTGAACACAAAAAAGAGTTAAATGCGATCGCTCAAGATTGCACGCGCTCATAATCGCGCGTGAAAAGCGTAAAATATAAAGCAGCTAATTTCACAAATGTACCACACTCACATTGAAGAAGACTTGGATGAAGTTAAAACATTTGTCGACAAATACAAAAATATAGCAAGTACATGTTATAATAAACTAAACATAACTTTACTTATTAGTATCAACTACATATTATGTTCCATATAAAATTATATTATATGTATTCAATAAGTAGTAATAATAAGTGATACTGAAAATAATGTGTATTTAGTATATAAATACATATTATTTTCAATATCACTTCAAATGTGGCAATGTATGTAATACAATTTAAAAAAATATTCCAAAGCTCAAGATGTTTTAAATTTATGCTACTTTATATATTTATATTCATATATTAAAGTAGGATAAATTTGAAACATCTTTTTCTATTTTGGCTTTTATAATAGTTATTACTATTTAAGTGATTGTGAACATACAAGCACAGAACATATAACATGGTTACTTAAGCTATTTGTTTTATTTATTGAACATTATTTAAGTAATAACAAATATTTATCATTGAAAAACATTATAGAAAGAGACTAAAAATATCAATATATCTGATTATAGCCATAAGGCTGATGGCAGATAGAAAGAGAAAAAAAGAAAGAAAGAGACTAAATATTATCCATACCAGCAACATTGTCTTTTTTGGAGCGAATCTTGATTTGAGCCTTAGTGACATTCTGCAGCACCACTTGATTGAAGTCCCCTGTTGTAAACTTTGCCTCTGCCAGTGAGAATGCAGCTTCTTTCATAACTTCACCCATAAGGGTTTTTGTCTGTAATAATATATTAACATGGTATAAAATGAAGTCACATCCACTATCTGTTAGATTAGATCTTTTTTTAAACTAAACAACAGATTTTAAAGCTATTTTTTGCAATAGATGCTTTAAAAGGATTATACATGAAATACATGTATGCCTATCCAATGCCAGAGTGAGTAGCTAGTATTGAATATATCCCAAATATTTATTAACTGTTTTGAGACGGAACAAAAGTCTCCACTGTGGGTAGTTATGCTTCAGATTTGTTTATTTCTATTCTAGAGAACCTTTAACAACATTTTCTATATATGTAAAAGCTCTGTTCTAATGATTTGATATAATATGGTAAATGTATTCCAGTTCAAAGGATAAATCATGGCAGTGAAATTACTAGATGTGTAGTAACGAAACATTCAGTTCTCAGGACATATAGACATAATAAGAACCTCAAGTCTCACACCGTATTCTGGTGCTGGTCATATCTTCAGGTTCAGAATCTTCTGGTCAGATTTTACAAGCCTTACACATAAAAAATAGTAGTGACTGATTTGTATATATACAAATCTATGGTGTTGCATAATTTATATGAAAACAAGGATGAACAAACGAAAATTGTCGCTTCAGAATAGCTTAAATTAAATATTTTCTCACCTCAATAATTTTGCTCAGTATCATACGAAATCTGACTTGTAAAGCATCAGCTTTCTTCTTTAGTAGACCATGACCTTTCACTGCTCCAGCCAGACGGCCCTTTATCAACATTTGAGCACTAAAATCAGGAATAAATTACAAATGTTACGAACAAAAATTAGGTACAAAGGGGTCAATTATTAACTATATGTATGTTTTATCCTTACCCCCGTGAAGGGAAAATCGCTAGCTTATCTTTTCCAGACATTTTAATATGGGATTTATTAAATTTATCCCTACAGGATTTCTTCTAAAATCTGCCAATCCCAATCACCTGATGACAGAAGTAGGTGATAAAAATATTGTCTATGATTAGTCTTGTGATTCGCTCAATAAAAAAAATACCTGTCAAAATGTAACCATTGGTTTTCTTAAGTCAACTTTTCATTGAAATATAGTCTGTTGATATTTATTTTTACTGTATATTTTTTTATTTAAGTAAAAAAACTGAAGTATATCCGCTTATCCTTCAGTTTTGTTTTATTTTTAATCATTTTCTTAAAAAAATCTATGTGATAGATTTTACTCAAATAATGTGCTCTTCCAGTTACGTGTAATAAATGCAGAATTGACACTTGACTGAGGAAAACTGAAATAAAAACAACAATCATAGACTGACAACCAAAATATTTTGAAATACTTCAATTACCTCAATTTGTGCTTTAAAAATAAATATAAATAATGTAATTTAAAATAATTTACACATTAACATAAACTATTTGCGTGTATTTAATCAAACTGGCCATAGTTTGAGGATGAATATATTTGTTATATGTTTACTTTGTTATGACACTATATAGTTTAATTTAAAAAAAATAGTTACGTTTAGTTACATATTTTTATATTGGAATAGCATTAAACATGAATACTGCGTTGTCGACATTGTGCAGAATTTGTCTTGAAGATGGTGCTACGCTACCACTTTTCGAAAATAATGAAAACGACGATATATATTCGAAACTTATTCAATGTGTGAATGAAAAGGTAACACTAATTCATCTTAATTACGCGTCGAACTATTACAAAAAAAGGCTTCAATCAATTTTGTTTTTCTCAGATTGAAGATGTGGAAGGATTTCCGCGTTCCATATGTAACAATTGCACTACCACGGTAGATACTGTTTACCATTTTATAAACAAATACAAAGAATCTTCAAAGATATTACAAAATGGTTTACTGTTCATAAAAAATGAAAGTATAGATCATAGCAATGATTACATTACCTTTGGAAATTCAGACACAGAAGACTTTAAAGTTAAATCAGAAGTAGTCATTAACTATGAAAATGATAGCAATATTGATGTAATAGATGATTTATTAACAAAATCATTAAAACCAAAAATAAAAACAAAGAGAAAAAAAGAGAATATTAAAAAAAGATGTAATAAAAGGGTGCCCATTAATAAAACAAATAAAATAGCATCTTCAATTTTAGAGGGCGAGTTTACTTGGAATGGAGAAAGCTGGTGGTAATATGTAGTTTATAGTCTTTGAAATATGTAGTAATATAGAGTCTTGCACATCTTTTTTATTCTAAATTTGTATTAAGTCTCTTTGCACTAAATATTTTTGACTTCCTATTTCTACATAAAGGTTAGCTGGTAGAGAATGCCCTAAAGCCCTTGTATGTTTCTTTGTAAAATAGAGAATTAAGAAATAAAACATTTTTACATTGACTCACCAATCTTTCAACAATCTGCATAGTCTAAAGACAGGCCTCACTTGACAATTGTTGTATTTTCCATACACAATATAAACATTTGCATACATGTGTTTGTGTTAGTGTAGGTGTTTTTTAAGATTACACATTTTACATATTTTACTTGAGTATATTCATTTGTAATTAATACCCAGAAAAAAGATTGCTTACTTTGTAATAAATTGACAGTTTGTGATATGTCCAAGCATAATTATCTAATAGTAATTTTTTTTTTTAGTTTAAAATCAAATGAACCTGTGACATTAAAACATAAAGCCAAGAAAAAAGAAAAAGAGAAAATTGAATTGAAAGCTAAGAATAGAAACAGAATAGAATTAAATATACCCAAAGTGGCTGTAAAAAAGTCGCCCAAGTTATGTGACCTGTGTGGGCAAATCTTTAAAACACAAGACAAATTGACAATACATAAAAGGAACAAACATTTTAACAATCCAGTTAAATGTCCAAAATGTCCACGTATCTGCGTATCAGATTATTACCTCAAGAGGCATATAAAACGGAGACACAACACGGAGAAAAACTTCATTTGTTCATCCTGCGGTCATAGGTTTGCTTTCAAAGGTGAATTGAGCACACACTACAGAAATGTTCACAATAAACATTTGGTACCAAAAAAGGTATATAAATGCTCAATTTGTGATAAAACATATAAATGCCAAAAATCTGTGATAGTCCATGAGAGATCTGTGCATACAGGTAAGTTAGATAACTTAACTTCATTTATAGACATATTTTCATATAGATATCATTTGTGTAGTCTGAAATATTAAGAGAGGCAGAAAGTGAAGTACCCACAATCCTACCATCGGAAATAGCTAAGGCAATAAGAAGCCTACCTCCAGAAAAAGCACCTGGACCCGATGACATTCCAAATGAGGTAATAAAGGCAGCCATGAAGGAAATAATACCTTTACTTATGTTGATCTTTAATGACATACTAAAAACAAAAATGATACCATCTCAGTGGAGCGAATCTCACATAATCCTTATACACAAGAAAGGGACAAAGGATGACATAGAAAACTATAGGCCTATAAGTTTGATGTCGAATCTGTACAAAGTATTTGCAAAGATAATCTTAGACAGAATATCAAAACAGCTTGATGAAAACCAGCCTATAGAACAGGCAGGTTTTCGTAAGAATTTCTCTACTATCGACCACATCTACACTATAAAACAGCTAATAGAAAAATACAACGAATATAACAAACCTCTGTATATCGCTTTTATTGATTACAGAAAGGCATTTGATAGTCTGAAACATAGCTATATATGGAAAGCTCTACAACAACAAGGCATACACTACTCTTATATACAAATAATACTAAATATATATTCAGAAAGCAAAGCCAAAATAAAATTAGAAACCTTGGGTGGTTCATTCCCAATAAATAAAGGAGTACGACAGGGAGACCCATTATCTCCCAAACTATTTTCAGCTGTGTTGGAAAGCATTTGCCGTAAACTGAACTGGGAAGGCTTTGGACTCAATATAAATGGATCCTATTTGACTCACCTACGTTTTGCAGACGACATTGTACTCTTCGAAGAAAGTCCTATACACCTTGAAACTATGATTCAAAGTCTGTCAAACGAAAGCAAAACAGTGGGTCTGTCAATGAATACTGCAAAAACCAAGATCCTGACCAACTCAATGGAGATTGACGTTGGTTTGGACGGTGGGTGCTTGGAGTATGTGGAAGAGTATGTTTACCTGGGACAAGTGGTGTCTTTTAGAGATCAGACAGATAAAGAAATAAACAAAAGAATAGCCAGTGGATGGAAGAGATACTGGTCTCTGAGAGAGATAATGAAAAACAAGAACATACAACTGTCAACAAAAAGAAAGACATTTAATACTTGCATTCTGCCGTGTCTGACATACGGATGCGAAACATGGGCCTTAAACAAAGAACAGCGGGAGAAATTGCAAAGATGTCAAAGAGCCATGGAGAGAAGTATGTTAGGGATAAACAGAAGAGACAGACACAGATGTGAGGATATAAGAGCAAAAACTAACTTGACAGACATTCTTGTGCAGATAGACCAACAAAAATGGAGATGGACTGGGCACATGATTCGAAGCAAACCTGAAAAATGGAGTACTTATGTAACTGAATGGTATCCAAGGGAAACAAAAAGAAAAAGAGGTAGACCACAGAGACGCTGGGAGGATGAAATCAAGCTGACAGCAGGCCCCTACTGGAGAAGAGCAGCCCAAAATAGAGTACACTGGAAGGAATTAGAGGAGGCCTTTGCCATAAGGCACTCTGTACTGCGGGATATAATATAGAAAATGGAACTAATAATTAAACATTAGAAAAAAAAAAAAAAATTAAACTACTCAACAAAAAATAATAGTAAAAAATACATATAATAATAATAAATTTATAGTATAATATAGTAATATGAATGAACAGAAATATAAAAAAAAAAAAAAAAATGTATGTACAGAAATAAAGGCTTCTTTATCTTTATCTTATCTTAAATTAAATTTCAATTTAAAAACAAATATGCACTCAGTAAAGTCAGTAACTAAGTTGTATTCATCAGGCAAGGCTTAACTGTTAGCTGCTACATATTGAATGCATTCTACACATATCCTTAATCCAATTTTCATTCTGCTGATGGCTAAATATTGTCATAGCAATTTTAAAAAACACAAAGTTTTAACTATTAATATTGAAGATAATAAAACTTTGTGTTTTGATATTAAAATTTAAATATGATGTCATGTAACAAACTCTAAAACCCCTTCCTAGGATGGTGGTAGGGATGAAATAAATATAGATTTCATTATCTAGGATGATTTCGTGATTTTATTTGTACCTACACCAACTTTGAGACACATAGTCCTTTCTTATACGATGTTGACCTCCTGCCCCCCCCCCCCCCCATTCTACCCCTAACGTAATTTACTCATACATTCCACTATTAATAATTAATAAAAAATATTATACTTCTAGGTCTGAGGCCAGCAGTATGTAATGTTTGCAATTCTAGTTTCTACCATGAAGACTATCTAAAGGAGCACATGCGTCTTCATACTGGGGAGACTCCCTTTAAATGTCCCATATGTGGTCGAGGATATGCCCAAAGAGGCAACATGAAGAGCCATCTGCGAATACACAGGGTATCAGAAATAGATCCGGCTGTGCTAAATAAAATGAAACCAAATTATATTAAATTGCTCAAAGATTTTCGTTTATAATAAATACCTATTTTACTTACATGTTACATCCTCGGAGCAACTAAAAACTCAAGAGAGCTCAATAATATTAATAAAAGTGAAGTCATCTATACTTATAGGATTATAGGAGTTACTCTAGGGATCAACTGAACTGATGTTGAAAATTCTTTTATTGTTGGATAGTCTATTTATCAAGGATGACTATAAGCTATATAAAATCATGTTATGACCAATAAGGATAGCTGCAATGTAAAATGTAGCAAAAACGGAGGAAATGTGAAGCAGACGAAGTTGGGTGGATCAGCTAGTTGTATGCTATAGCTGTAAGTAGGTTCTTAAAGAATTTGCTAAGTGGTGGTACCAACCACCACTTAGCAGAATAATATTAAATAAATCTGTAACTTCTTTTAATGGGGAAAAATGAAACAAGGTATTATCTTTTCTAGGAATTTTATTTTAATTATCCAGTTGATGAAGAAAATGTGAGTGAACAATAACAATATTTGTTTTGGACAGGGTTTTACAGCTTCACTTTTATAGCACTGTTTCCTCTTGAATATTAGTTACTCTAAGTTTGTAACATAAGATTCATTATAAAACTTACTATTTAAATATTATTGTCTATTATGTGTAATTTTAAAATTACAAAAGTCTGATATGTTTATAATCTGTAAAATCTGTTTTACTGTAAACTTAATAATTTTATTTTCAAGGGTATAAAATAATATGTTCACGACTAATTTTGCATAAAGATAGATTGTATGCCGGAAAGGATATACGTTATCTTTTATCTTAAACAATAATCTGAGCGTGTGAAACAGGCAATGAAAATTGTGCAGAATAAGTTGCGGGTAATAGATTGTCCTTTATATTTTTGGAATGTAATTCTTTACAGCTCGAATTGACCCATCAACAGAAAAATTGGTTTTTGGTTATTGGTTAAAACAAAAAAAAGTAAAAGCTGTTATGTTTGATGTGATAGGTTTTTAATAGTAATTTTGTGATATATATGTACAAACATTGTGCAATAAGACATACATTTATTACACTTTTAGGAATTTATACTACAAATATGTAGTAAAGATTATATGTAGAAAAGATTTAAATTGTATTAATTCATATAATTTGTTGAACTGTTTGAAACAGATTTGATTTCTAGTATTTACTTGATAATGCATGTCATATACATATGTCTAATGAAGACTATTTTCTCATTTTTAAAAATTAAGATTTAGGCCAGATACTTACTTACTACTCTGGATATTTTAATATTTGTAATTTTTATGAGATTTTCTACTAAATATTACATTGATTGCATGTAGGTAACACTAAACCAATAGTAATCTATGGAATAATGATGCAGTCTTAATTATTTTTAACTTTCATGTTTAATATACATTATTTATATTATTAACAGCGTCTTAAGTATTAGTATGAGAATTATGTAAACAGTGCAGTGCAACAACCAATTTGTATTTGTAGTGAAATGTTTATTATTAAATAATAGCATTGTTTACTAGTAGCATTAAGAAAGATATGTTTTAAATAATTAGTTATTGTTTTTGAATATAAAGATGTTGATTTTGGTTGAGATTTAAAAGACAAATAAATATTTTTTTATTAATGTATCAAATTGTATGATTTAAATTTCAACAGTTAAGAAATACTTATTATATATATTTAACTACTTATTAACATCTTGTATAGCATTTGAACATAGAGATCCAATTATATATAACAATTAATCAATAAAATCGTCACTAAATTAAGTTAGGAAATCTTATATTCCCATTTTTGGTGCGCTCAACAAATCTGAAAAAAGAGAAAAAACTTTATTTAAGCGTATACACTTTATTAGGAAGTAAATATTATAAAAAATCTTTTTTGAAAAATGAAAAATTATCTGGCTCTATAGATTCATTCAAATTTACTTCAAAAAAAAGACTGTATAGATAAGTACAACAATCCTCAGTAGCCTAGCGGTATGGTACGCCGCCTTATTTCTGTTGGTCGCAGGTTTCGATTCCTGACATGATATAAACATTTATATAAATGAGTATGATTGTTTGTATTGGTCTATATAAAAAATATCATATTTTTTTAAGAAGTTTGACTATTATAAAGAGATGTGTAGCTCTGCAACCTGCATAAATTTATTATGCTAACGGGCATAACTAATATAACAAAAAACAGCAAAAATGCTCACTCTTTCAATGACGTTGAGATTTCTCTAAAGCATTTCAACTTCTCTTCCTCTATATTGGTCAAATAGTTGATTTTGTTCATTTCTATTTCTTTCAATCTCAATTCTTCTCCTTTTAATTTCAGTTCTATAGCTCTTAGCCTTAATTCTTCACTCTTATGCTGTGCTCTCTGTTTCTGGAGTATTAATTCAGTCTTTATTTTGTACTCATGGAACTTTTTCTTTTTATATGTCTTCCCTGAATAGAATAATTACATGTTTTACAAATTATTAGAATTAACAATTAAAATAAACATATATTACATACATATATAAAAAACTGTGATAAATAAGATAATTAATAATAGTATGGCAAATAAGCTATGTATACATTGTAAAGCCTGTAGTACTAATCATGCATTAAGTATTAGAGAAACATTCGGGTTCTCCATTTTGACTCCCACTCAAAGTCATCAAAACTCGAATCAAACAAATCTTTGTGTATGCCTGTCATTTTCATCTGGAATTCCAATTGCCGTATTTCGCCATTCCCGATAATTTATCCATGGTTAACGATGAAGAACTTATTTTGAAGAGGATTAGCATGTATGAATACCGCTCTGCTACCATATTAGAGAAACAAACTTGTCAGTGTAAAGATATAAATTTTATTTTCTCATAAACAACCGTTACTGAGTAGTAATCATTGTTCGTGTTCTGTATATTGAAATTACAAACGGTAATATTAAATTCACTACATTATTGCCACACCGTTTGTCGAATATTAACATATGCATACAAACCTTTCCACTTCACTTTCTTTTCAATGTCTGAAGATTCTTCATGTATTTTAGAATTGATACCATCTGAAAATATATAGTTCTCTTTTAAAAAAACTACTTTAATATCTTATTGCTCTATCAATCTAAATAATTGTGATCTTTCAATCACAATTAATAAAATAAAATATTTTACCTCTCCCTCAAATTTCAATTATTTTAAATGGTACTATAGAGATACAGTGACAAAATTTTCTAAAAAATCAGACTACAAATATTTTAAAAATAAATGTTACTGATATGCAAGTATACTGTTTCAAATAAAATAGTATTTTTAAATATATTTATAAATGCAGGAGTTATGATGAACATTAAAAAAATACAGGCTCATTTACAATTTCCTCCTCTTTTTGGAGTTGGTTAAAAATGAAGGATAATAAATAAGATAACAATCTTGGAAAGTCACTTACCATCAGACATATCATCTACAACACAAAATTTACTATCAGCAGCAGGATCAAAACATTCTGGTGCACTGTCATCCTCATCAGATGACATTCTATCTTTATTTGGTTGTGAACCATTATATTCCTCCACCAAATACGCAGCAGATACATCATCAGAAATTTCTGATAATTCAACTTTGTTTGCTCCCTAAAATGTATTTAATTAAATTAATTATTTTATTAAATGAATGAGCCGAACTTGGTACATTTGTTTAAAGAGCAACAGGCAAGTTTCTTCTTTTTGCGTTAAGATAGTAGAATAAAAAAATACAATTAAAAAGTACTTAAAATATGTTTATTTGGATAAAGATTTGTATTTCTAGTTATCAACAAACATATCACAGAGCACCATCTAGTAAGCAAAAATTAAACAGAACTATATTGGGTGGACAGATATACAACTGATATCTATACATAAAAGGAGGTAATTTAATTATGTATGAGTTGGTGTTAGTTCTGTAAAGATTTTAGTCTGTTTTCACACCAAGTTTTTTAGGGGAGGAATGGTTCATCATTAATTAATGTTGTAAGAAAAGTAAAATGTTAAAATGAGTGTGAGCAACATTTTATTTTTAACTCTCCATATCAGTCATTTTACTATACTGATTGAAGGTAAGATTAGATCTTAGTACAAACCTTTTTTTATACTATGATGGTGGCAAACAAGCTTATGTTTCATTTGATGGTAACTCTACAACTGCAAAGCCTGAAACACCAGGAGTGACCCTATTTATCTTACCATTTCCAGTTTCATTGCATCTGCTTTATCTTCAATTGGGTAGTCAATCATTTTTAATAGTCTCAATTCAAGATCAGTTAGTGTTGGTGAGGGGTGAGCAAAACTGTAGCTTTTCCGTCTAAGCAGTATATTGGCTTTCTTCTTAGTTTTATTTTTCCAGTCTGCCCACATCTGAAAATTGCACCATATGCAGAATGAAGTAAAATTAATGGGAGAAAATATATATTTGTAAGAAGTATTTTAAATTTAAATGCTTATGTTGAAGGGTAAGATATGGAAGGAAAATTACAGGGTATAAACAAAAATTACAGTTTTAGTCCTCATGAGAAATCATGAGGAGTTTTTTAATAGGTGACAATAAAATATTGGTAGCACAGGCAGGAACTACCAGTATACCTTTTCATTCTTGTGCCACTCATTGTAACACATTCAGTATGGATGGTTTCCCATAATATTACATTACATCCTAGATGTCCTAGAGAATCAGAATGTTGGTTCATAGTTGTTCTTTAAAAATTTAAAAGATAGCTAGTACAGGTTAAAAAAATATATATTGTTTTGTTGTGTATAATTTAGTACCCAAATGTGATTTTTAAAATATCTGTAATATATACAAAAATAGCAATCTAAGTGTATATAATGACGAAGAATTCAATGGGAATCGGTACCCTCTGCCTATCTATCTACACAGCTACCTAGCTATCATCAAAATATGTTACGCATCTTAATAAATATAATTTAAAATAAATAAATTATGTAAAATTAATTAGAAGATTCATATACCTTACACCATTTCCATGTGTTTTTATAAACTCCACCATCAACGGCGTTAAGCTGTGATGCGATGCGCTTCCAAAAATTAAGTTTGTTTGTATTAGTGTATGACACCTTCCCACGTACCAACACGCCGTCTTCGCTAAGTAAATCCAATAGTATTTTCATTTGTGGTGCACTTACTCTACTCATTTCGGTTGAGTAATATCAACTATAAAAGAATTATTCAAAAATAAATTTATACAATAAAATATTTTAAAATTATATTAAATTGTTTGTTCCATGCAATATTACTTACTAATCGCTTCGATAAAGTTTTGAAAGCTATACATTTAGTAATAATTTAGTTTGATTTAACAAAGTATCGATAAACAAATAAGTAAACAAACAAAATTCTATACATACAACATAAATGACAAATTGACACGACAATGACATTTGAAATGAATTATCAAAATTGACATGTATTTCTGTACTTACATTGTAACACTGTTACCAATAGTATATTATCTATGACTGCTACAAATAATTTAAATAATAAATATAAATACATTTTATTATTAAATAAAAACAATTCCCAACTATGGCGATAGTTCTTAAGTTAGGCTAAGTTTTAAATTTGTATACAATTCAATATATTGTTCGTTTTACTTTTGATTCATATTGTTTGTTCTAGCATAAGTTACTATTAGTTACCTGTCTATTACATGGCTTAAATCAAGTCACCCAGTGGTCGTCGCCATTTAATGCTGGGATAAAGAGGTTCGCACCGAGGCCCTAATCTTCACCCCCAGGGTGCAGATGACACATGTATATCATGTCATGCAATGAATGCGGTAATATTACTGATACTATCACTGATACCGCTAATTGTCATTTTGTACTGACACTAAGTAGCTGAGTCTGACTGACAGTGCAAAATTAAGAGAAAAAAAGGTTTCAAAATATGTTTTGCTTTGCTAAACTTTGGCTCTTGATGTGATGTACTTTTTTTTATGTAATTTTTAATATTTCACATCGTAATTAAGATAAGGGATTAGATTCTTAGTTTAATATAATTGGAATCGTAATAACATTTTGCCGCGAAAATGTTGCGTACAAAAATTCATATAGCGATAAGTGTTATTGGGGTTGTTTTGGGTTTATCAGCTTTTATATGTTTATGCATTGTTTACGCAAATATTGAAGCTGGAATGTGGGCGCTCTTATCCGGTGAGTATTTATCTATTCCTTATAAGTTTCTTATTCTAATAAATTACAATATTTCATATGGTTTGGCAGCAAAAAATTTATTATAAAATTATTTATAGTCAATGTTCAAGAGTAATATAAGTAAAGGTACTCTCAGATAATTGTATTGTAAATGTTTTAAATGTATTCTAATTTTATTACGCATACTTTCTGTTATATGTCCCGTTCGCATTAACTTGGATCAAATTTTTAAAAATAGAAATAATCTATATTCTAATAAACTTAATATGGGCACTTTTGAATAGTCATACTATATATTTTTTATGCAACCATTAATTCCGAAAGCAATCTCATCACAAGAAGTATAAGCAAACAACTTTTGTGTTGTTCTTTTAAATAAATGTTATGTTGGATTACTTATATATAAGATTTTTACTTTATTTATCAATTAATACTTCTGACTGACTGTCTAAGGATAAACCACCAATAACAAATCAAATTTATCTAAGGGTTGGTGGTAAGCTTTCCTCTGCTATGTTGGATTTAAATATACTCAGCAAAATATGGGCATGAAAAGTGTTGCATTTCCCACTATGTTAACACTTCACAATACCTCGCAACTGGGGGAAAGGATTGTTAGTAATATGGTATGTTCCCATAGCTAGCAATGTACCATGTTACATTGTACCACTATGAGTTTCCTTTAAATCCATATGGTAAATACCTAGTGAATTTGTCATGATAAACCAACTAACCAGACCAGATGCTCATTTTTTCATCCCTCACTGGTGCCCTGCCTGTGGAAACCGATAATGCAGGCTGTGCACTTTTATTCTATTACCATCCATAAAAAAAATATCTCTCCATCTTGGATAACAGTTTTGACTATTTAATTTTACAACATTTTCAATTTTGTTTGTTTAGGTATCCATTCAGCATTGGCTCTGTTGATGCATTACCACTACTTAAGAGAGTCTCTACATGCAAACTTTTCACGAAGAGCACTACAATACATTGAGGAGTTTGGTATCATTGGATTTGTCTCTGGCGCTGGTTTGACATTATTCTACATATTCTTGGAAATTTATTACAAGTCTGGTGAGTAACCAACAAAAATACCAAAACCGTTAAAAATAAAAGGACTTATTTTTTATTCTATATAACTATTTTAGTTTTACTGTAATAACAATGTGTAATTTTGGTATATTACACATTGTTATTACAGTTTCCATTAAATAAAATAAATATACATAGTTAAATATATACTTTTCATTTAGTTCACTATTTTGACTTTAATGGCTTCCACATAAAGTATAGTTTCATATAATTTCATAGATTATTTAGAACTATGTTGGAGATACAATGCCACCGTTCCTTAGCATAACTCTAATGTTTTATACAGCGCATGCCAGTACAACTCTCAGATTACTCAATATTCTTGACTTACTTAACACTTATTATTATATTTCGTTTTATAAATTATAGCTCTGTGTCTTATTCTGATTTATAAGCTGTAAAATTTCATCAAAATCCGTTCAATGGTTTTAGCGCAATCCATCTGACCTAACTTTCGCATTTATAATATTAGTAGGATCAATGTTGAAAACCCATAATTCTTGATTAATAACATTGTCAGAAATATGATATATAATTATATATATATTTTTAGGTTTATTACCAGTTCAAACTAGTATTATCATCCGTTTGGTGTGGTCTTTCATCATGATGAAGTGGGGTTTGATGGTCTACATAGCCACTAGGAAATATCAGCGGACTTACAATGACGAACAGCTGTTTTCGGAGAGCCCTAATATTGAGGAGACATAATTTTCTAGATAACCAACCTAACTATAGAATTCAATAGCTTCAGGTACACTTTCAATTTTTTGTATGCAGTTATCAAAATCATAGTTAAATAGTACTTGTTAGTTTGTATTACCATGTTAATAAATAAAATATAATTTAAAAAAATGTATCCTAATATATTGGCATTTAGAGAGACTACTTTAGTGAATTGAATTAATTTGTTTATGTATGTGGTATACCACATTTATAAATACGCATTCGATCTAACATATCGCCCAGACTGATCGGATACTATCGTGTCAATATATATTTTAAACTTACAATTAATAGGTAAATTACACACATAAGTAATTGTGATTATAAACTGTATCAGAAGTTAATCTAAAAATACAGGGACTTTATTTATTCCAATTATTGACTAAAAGTGATAAATTATAGCGATGTGTTTAAATATAATCTATTTTTAACATATTACCAAATAGATTAGGATGTAGGCTTAAATATTACGTGCATATTTTTTCTTTTTGTCTATCTGCGATCAGCTAAAAAGCTTTCATCAAATTTGATTGCTTTTGTTATCTATCGCTTTGAAGTTATCACATCCAGTGATGTTAAATCTAGTGATGTAAAATGACGACCTTTTATATATGTACATCTATTATATTAGATTGTAGACAGATGTGACCTTTTCCCTTTCCAGTCTGAATACGTAATCCCTGGAGTCTAAGAGAGTTGTGACTAATAGGTTGTTATGTTGCTGAAGTCTGCTTGTAAGCCTTACAGGAACGTTTTGCGTGCACACTATGTTTTTTGTTTTATTAAAACAACGCATTTATAGGATTATGGTCGTTGGCCCGGACTTTTGACATGATTTGTAGTAGACACGCTTTTGTGAAACAATATGTCAGGTGTATTTGGTTGTAAATGTAAATGTATATTAACTGAAAATATTGTAAATTTCTGTAAAATTTTTTATTTGCGAATATGGAATGGTGATTATACAATTACTGCATAGTAATAGTGCTGGCGATGTTACAAGAGAAGCTAAGATGAATGATGATGACTACGTTAAAAAGTCAAATTGCCACACTTAGTCTATTCGCAAAAATTAACCACGTTGGTTGGGGGTTGGAGATTGTTAGTAAAGGGCACTGGTGTCCATTGTACTATGTCAGTTTGACCTCTACGGGTAACCTTGAAACAATCGCGGTGCGTTCCTGATGATTTCATGGTCATCTTATACATACTCCACTGGTGCCCCAGCACCGTATACCGTTAGCAGACGCATGGACTGTTCCATAATAAATACCAAATAAGGAAGGTGTGTAGCCGGAAACGCGCTGGGTTTTAGTTTGCCTATAGTCCTCAATACAGTGCTTTATCTGACATTTATAGCTAAATCTACTACGATTCAAAACAAATAAAATTATATGCATGCTACTGTTGATTGGTTTAAACTGACTTGCACAGAATATTAATGCTACGATAATTACAAGTCATAGCGAATGTGACAACTACTAATGTAATTTAATGTCATTTATTTGTTATATTTGTTGTAAGTAAAACTAAATTCAGTTTGTGATCCTGCATTTAATATTTGTTGTGGTATGTATCATATTGCTAGAAATCCATTATTTTGTTATTGTTATTTAATTACCTGTAATGAGTGAAAATACAGACTGCAATTATAATTGTTATTCATTAATTGACGTATTACTAAGAGCCTCTTAATAATACGTCAATAATGTATTATATATTATCAAAATTTATCTATCATTATTGCAACTAGTTATTCTCTGGTGACATAGGCTTTACCCAATATCTTCCACCATCTGTGATTCTCACCTTTCCGCAGCCTGCAATGTAGTACTGGTTTAGTTAATAGGGGTTTTGGAATCCATAATGCCGGCTGGAGTCTTAAGATATTTGGAAAATTGTCACTTTATATATCTACCTACTTAACATATTAATAATTTTTATTTACGTTATATAAAAGTTATATATTTTAAATAGATTAATGAAATGATTAATTTGTACCTCTAACAAATAAAATATGTTTAATTTATATTATGAAATAAGTTTAGTTTATATTAAAGATACATAGATAGAGAATGATCTAATAATAGATACATATTTTACAAAAAAATATGAAATTACTATTAAAAAAATCCTTTTTATCTGTAGGCTTTTATAACCAGTTCATAATCGAGACACTGAAATAATTTTTTTTTATGACAAGCTAACCATTTAATTACCTGTTTAGATAAGAACATTTTTTCATTGTTGAAATATGTTTTTTATATTATATTTTTTAATAAAATTTCGGTGTCTTTTGTAATTGGTTATATTTAATGTCTAAGGTACATAAAGTAAGTGGGTAACTGAGATAGCAGTCAAATAGTAATGCATTTTCGTAACAAAATATTGTATGCTTTAGTAATTGATTTTCATTTTGAATATAGTAATTCAAAAATGTGCTGTAAGTGTAAAAAATTAAAGTAATTAATGATGAGGTATTATTATATATATGTATATTGTTCTATGTCAGATATTTTAAATATAAAATATATTATCAAAAGTTGTGTTTTAATTTATCCTTGTGATGTTTACTTAAAATAAATAGGTATAGTCAGTTTTATATATATAGAATAAATATATAAATTTTAGTTCTGACATATTTATTTTATCGTGCGAAAATTCAATCTATATATACGTGAAGATTTGTAGATAAGACAGATATTTTATATATTATGGATATTTGTTTTGTTTTATTCTAATTGATATACAAAAAAAAGTTATACGTTTAAGAAGTAGCGGGCACAGCTAGTGTTATACCTATAGTCCATTATCTACCTTATTTTTAAACTATTTCATTCCATGACTTTTTTATTGAATTTTATTATTCACAAAGATTGTTTACTAAATGTATCAAGTACATAAAAAACGTTCATAGCTTGCGTATACGCATCCCGTTAATGAGACAGGTGGTAGAGCATAGAGGGGTCTCAGAAGAAAATGTTCAGTTCTTATAAGCACGCGCAGTTCGACGCACGCGGAACCTTTCCCGCGCATTTCGAAGTTCGCGCGGGCACAAACTTTTGTCTATGACTTAAAAAAATAAAAATAGTGGACTGATGAGGTTTATAACATTATAGTGCAAGCGATCATTAGCAGGCCGATGTGGTGGCAAGGGATTCTTCAATAATAACTTAAGTAGTGGTAAGTGAAACAGGATTTCTTGAATGCGAGTTTGCGCCTTGGATGTAGAAAAACATGTTTAAACTATTTCAGTTCTATGTAGATGCGGTCGAGATAGTAGTTAATGTTTCATTAGAATAAAATAAAATATTTATTTTCTCACATATAATAGTTGCAGACTTTAAACCGCAAACATAAGCGCAGTGCCTTTAAATAGACGTCTATTTTAGTTGTGACAGGAAATCACTATGGCATTAATTAATTATATTCATATATTATAAATAAAATTTAGGGTAGTTTATTTATTTAAGACAATAATTACAATATTGTTGGCACTAAGTATTCTCTGGCTACTCGTAAAGGGATTAATGTTAAATATTATATTATATGCCTTCTACAGTATATATAATATATTTATGAATTCTTGACTTTTTTAAAATCTGTCTGTAAGTTCTATACATGTATAATTAATATTGCGTCTTATAGTTATTAAAATTAATTGTTAAAGCAGCTACACTGACCAATTTACCTTTAATTTTTAACTTTAATTTAATTGAAAGAAAATTACCAAACCATCTTATAGTTTGAATAAATTTTTATATTTTACATTTTATAAACAGTAGCATTTAATAATAAGAAATGTCCCAATCAATCATTTTATACATTAAACTCGGTTTACAAATTCTATTTTACTATACAATAACGAGAATATCGGAATAACAACAAAAACTTGCGAAAGTTCTTTAATATTGAATTGAATTCCAAATTTTCACATTGACCATCAACAATAGGTTCTCATAGATCTGTCAGGTCCACAAATAATATTTTTTTCTGCTCATGGTTTACGCGCCACTGGCCAATCTCGTATACTGCATAAAAAACATTTTTTTCGTCTATGGTGCGAGTGTAGTTTTTTTTCCCGCCATAATCGAAAGCGAATATTATATCGTTACTCGGCTGTTTTTAATTGTTGTTCTTTAGATAATACCAGTGGCCACAGTGCATAATCTTATAATGTAATGATTATTTCAGATTTCAAGACTGTATGAGAACAGTCAAAATAAATATTCAGAATATTAAATTTAGATATTATTGTACAAAATAAATATCTATTTATAAATTTCGAATGCAAGAAATTTTAGGCTTAGTGCCTCTGTCCCAATTTTATGTATATAAGTAAATATAACGAAATTTTGTTAATTGTATTGTTGTATTTGTATAAATAAGTAAGTAATAAGTAATTTGTATATATAAGAAAATTATAGTAAGTAATGCATACACAGAATTCTAAAATCTATAAATAAGTAAAACATACAAATATTTACAACATTCCAAAGAAGTGATTATAATTATTTTTTCTTTCTCTCAATCTCGACTCGAGGGTCTTCTAGTACTTAACCAGTTTTTATTCATTTGCGTATAAAAAACTAGTTTTTCTCACCAGTTTGCTGGCCCTATACATAGTTTACTGACCGGGCGCCGCGTGATGTATAACATATTCAAACGTTTGTTTATGGTGCAGTGAGAAATCAGTCTTAGCATATTTGCCCTGACATATCCCTATCTATATACCGTGGTGTTGATCATAAGCATTCCTGCAATATTTTTTCTATTTGCTCGGCTCCTAAGAGTTCTCAGTGAGACATTAAATTGTATAAGTATTTAAAAAAATGGACATCGAGAATTTTCATTACTGAAACAAATCTGACGCGGATGTAAAACATAACAGAAGTCATATTATTATACATATATGTAGGCATTATCCATATAAAGCTGCCGAAGAATATTTCGAAATGATAATATAATTCGTAGGTATGAGAATACAGCAAAAAGATTTATTAAATCAAACTAAACTAAACGTTATTGCGTTCCTACAATTCCATTTCTATTACGAATTTAACCTGAAACCCTAACCCTTCATAAAATATAAACACTATAGATTACTTACAGCAATTACTTTACTATAAATCTGTGATGTGATGCTATATTGTCTATGGTATAGAACCCAACTTCAATTACTGATTTTAAAAATAGAATCGCACTAGCCATTTCACAGAATTATGCCAATAAAAAACAAATAGAGAGTCAATAGGTTTCTAATAAATCAAGAACGTGTAATCATCTCGGGGATTGACCATCTTCGTTCGTTGTGCAAGTGGGCACTGGCCACTGACCACTACAGTTGGTCGATTCCGTTCGCTTTTTATTAAATACCACGGAAATTCACAGAATCTTGTGTTTAATAGACAGTACGTTTTTAAGTACTGCGAAGGAAATAAGTTAGATACTTACTTAAGTGTTATTTCACATTATGTTTAGTTGTGCATAGTAAATTTACTCATTTGGTAGAGTTAAGAAATAAAGTCTCTCTTTGACTGATTTCCAATATTCGATATTAGCAGAAATGTTATTTTATTAATACTACTAACCTTACTAAAGTATACAGAACTGTATTTATCTAATGGAATGTTCTAAATGTAATGTATTTTCATTATAACTATTCAAGTGGTTAGTCAGTTTCTTCCAAATAAATAAAAAATAAAAACAAAAAAGGACAAACGGAAGGGGGTCTAGGTTCGAAATATTATTTCAATAAACTTTAATGTCGATGCAAACCTCAAAATAATCCTGATTATAGTATTCTTTAAGTTGGTTTTCCTGTGATTCCAAAATAAAAATGAGAGGTAATTAAATAGGAATATATACCTACAATATTTGGCAAACTTAAATTCTTCTTTACATTACGTTTTAACTTAACATTTTCATAGCTACAGTTGCCTTGATACGTAATATGTACGGGCGATTTGTTTCGTTCCGCCTGGAAGATAATGGTTCATCGTTTGTTATTCAGCTGTGGCCGTTAGCAGGAACAAGGAAATAAAAATATAATATTTGTTTTACAGCTTTTATCCTGCCTACGTTTTAATTTATTACTGGTTTTATATGAATATTATAAAATTAAATCCAAATTATAGACTCATTCATACACTTTAGGAGTTAGAACATTTTAGTCAGAAGCTGTCACAGCATCAGTGGAATGTGATAACAGAAGGATGAAGTGGGGTTAGATACCCCATTCTGGCGAATTTACTGCTAACTATTGACAGGGATTCATTCTCACACCCTGGACCCTAGATGGTTACAAACAGTGCTGGTTCTGAAGTATTTCTGCCGCGCACACTCAGATTGTGATAAAACCTACCTGCTGAAGTTTCCAACATGAAATTTCTCAGAAAGATAGATAGATAATAATCTTTATTGACAGATTAACAAGCATATACAGAATTATATAAAAAAACATAAAATTTGTAACAGGAGCTGGTGCTGTTGCTGATGTAAGCACAATCTCATCATTAATCATGCATTAGGTTTTCGAAAACCGTAATCCGTATGTTTTTTACACTTTTATATTTCTTTTTGCGTCAGCAGTCCGTTTACAAAATAACTTTAGGTTACTCCCTTACAAAACGCCAGTTCCATATGTAAAGACCTAATATTAAGTTATCTTAAGGATCTGCAATGCGCACGTGACCTCTCTGGTGTTTTTTTTAATTAGTTATTATAATTTATAACAAATCTTTCCTTACTTATCATTATAATAAATATCTTAATCTTGATAATGTTTATGACAGACATACTCATATCTTATCATGGTAACGCATGATGCGTCATAATCGATAATTTTGTGTGCCGTTTATGAATATGTTCACACGGAATATGTCTGTTATATTCAATTTTCACAAGTTTTTTTTATGGATGAATATGGATTTCTGTACCCGCTAGCGAAGCATCAGTAGATTAGCATGTTAGTTTGATCGAGAAGGCAGGTCCTATCATGGCGAATTCGCCAGAAATGATTTCCAGGGTTGACAATAGCACATTACTGGCCTTGAAGGCGCTTATTGCCACATTAATAACAATTCCTTCATCACTATTTTTACAAGTTTATATAGTAAAATTTCTAAAACAAAAAATTCTTAGTAGATGTATGTATATCATATGCCTAATATTATATATTAAAGAAAGGGAAGAAATCATGCAGTACTTGCCTTTAAACAGACATAAAAATATATTTGTCAAATGCAAGAAAATCATGCGTCTTTCAAATTATGGATATCCTCATCATCATCATCTTCCTAAATCTGTAGTTTGCGGGATAGCAACCGTATTTTAAAAATTCTTTATTAACATTCATATATCATGCTCCAAATTATAACAATAAGAAATACTATACCCAATACAAATACAAATATCACAAGTAACGCTAACATGAATTTAGCTAATTTCTTATTCGTTGAAGTAAATCTGCAAACAATCACTTTTGTCGGAAAAAGTTTATTGGAGCAAATCTTGAAAAAGCAAATAGTTTGCCCACGGCCCCGGATGTGAGATTTCAATTTCATGTTTACTTCCTAATGTGGGTAGCAGAGCTCTCATCGATAGCATTATTGGCTTATTGTGCTAAAACTAGGTTATATCATTAACTTGCTAGTTATTTTAGTCGCTACTCGACTCGATTTGGTCTTCGCACGGGTATTGAGTAGTATATTTAGGGAGCTCTAATTTTCTTATGTGCCATATGACTATATAGTAAAGAGGAAATGTTAGATTTTTTATTGTTTGTTTCTTTGTAATAATCTAAAAATGTATTACTTGTATACCGGGGGGAGGGCAATCTCCACGAGATTGGTCTTTTCGCGTTACGGCTGTTAATTATATATACAATTTCTTTTTATCATAAATGCAATTTACCAATACCTATTATAGGTATTATATTGTCCTAAATTTAATTTAAACATGATTCTGTATTTTTGTAATAATGAAAATAGCCAAGTTTCTTATCAGTTCTTCTCGGCTCAAAACTATTTAAATTTTGAACGGACAGTAAATCTGGTTTATCATTATGTGTGTAATGTTATCATTATATCTATTACACGAATAAAATTATGAACTATTAAAAAAAAGGAATACCTTTTTTTTCGAGATTTTTAATTATTTTGACCTATATGTACGACTCGTAG